TGTATGAAAGAATTTATTTTTAATCCATTTCAGCGATTGAGTGGACTGGGAAACATTTTCTTAGAGCTCAGGGGGAAAAAAAAGGCTCTTTCCATGAGAACTAACACGCTTAAGCTTTAAAAATGTATGAAAGAATTTATTTTTAATCCATTTCAGCGATTGAGTCTGCTGGGAAACATTTTCTTAGAGCTCAGGGGAAAAAAAGGCTCTTTCCATGACAGCTAACACGCTTGAGGTTTAAAAAATGTATGAAAGAATTTATTTTTAATCCATTTCAGCGATTGAGTCTGCTGGGAAACATTTTCTTAGAGCTCAGGGGAAAAAAAGGCTCTTTCCATGACAGCTAACACGCTTGAGCTTTAAAAATGTATGAAAGAATTTATTTTTAATCCATTTCAGCGATTGAGTCTACTGGGAAACATTTTCTTAGAGCTCAGGGGAAAAAAAAGGCTCTTTCCATGACAGCTAACACTCTTGAGCTTTAAAAATATAGGAACAAATTTATTTTTAATCCATTTCAGCGATTGAGTCTGCTGGGAAACATTTTCTTAGAGCTCAGGGAAAAAAAAGGTTCTTTCCATGACAGCTAACACTCTTGAGCTTTAAAAATGTATGAAAGAATTTTTTTTAATCCATTTCAGGGATTGAGTGGGCTGGGAAACATTTTCTTAGAGCTCAGGGAATGTGTCTCCAGGTTGAATGCACAGCACACACGGATGGGAAGTCGAAACTCGAGTGGCTTAAAAAATAAATATACGAAAGTTGGGTTATCGAGCTGACTAGGAAAAATTTTCAGAGTTCTGGAAATAATTCTGAGTTCAAGCATGGGACATGAGAACCGAAATGTATTACAATCATCATGTCATCATTGTTTTCGAAAGCCAAAAGAACATCTCATGAAAGAACATCTTTTTTTCCTGGTTGTGGGATGGAGTAGAGTTGCTGCATCTTGAACAACCCACACTGATCTGAACAGAAAAATGAAATGTTCTTATAGATATAAGAAATGAATTGAAAGTGAAAGTAAAAATGAAATTGTATTGGCTGGAAATATTTCTTGGCTGTTGAATTGGAAAAAATATTTCCAGAGCTATAAAAAAAAAAAAAAAAAAAAAAAACTCTTCCTTTTTTTCTATTAATTTGATGTCTTCACTTTGTTTACTTTGGAATGGAGAAACCCAAAGACTTTTTAAAACATATCCTTTTTAAAAACTTATCTTATCTTATAAACTTTAAACTCATCCTTTTAAAACATATAATTCCTAGAATGAGTCATGGTCTATTTTTAGAAACAGTGAGACAACATTCCCACACAAAAGGGGGGGGTAGGGTTAATTTTTATCATGTCTAGAAGACATGATAAAAATTAACAAAAAGTTTTTTTTTTTTTTTTTTTTTTTTTTACATCTCAGAATTTTTTTTCTGAGCTCTGAAAATTTTTTCCCAGTCGGCAACCAATTGAAAAATTTCCAATCGGCTTTTACTTTCACTTTCAACTCTTTTCTATAAAAGCATTCCACGTTTTCTGTTCAGAACCGTGCGGGCTCTCCATGGTGCAACATGCTTTTTCTCTCTCTACCTCATCTGCAGCTAGGGTGTTTTTCCTTCTTCAAGAAGTGGAATTCTTTGGGAATACCTTACAATTTCACGAGCTAGCTGTTTCTTATATTTCGAGGAGATTTCAATGAAATTGTTTATAGATGTCACCTATTGCAGATGGGGAAAAAGTCTATACTGGATCGCTGGAGACATCTCATCCAGATAGGTCACGTTATATTTTTTCCCACACCTAAATAAATTGGACATGAGCCATCCTTTTGTTTTCTCATCCAACAAAGATAGACACTGCAGACCGTTTTGGGTTTTCACTCTTCGCGAACCGAGACGAGCCGCAGCCACACTTTGCGTTTTCTATGAGCGCAATAATGGATCACGTGAGCAGCCATTTTGTTTCCCATCTCACCCAGATAGGTCATGTTGTATTTTGTTTCATGCACCTAGCCAATTTTGGACATGAGCCATCCTTTTGTTTTTTTTTTTCTATCGAACCAAGATAGACTCTGGAGACAATTTTGTTTCTCAACGGAAAAGTAAATTTTCTGAATGGGTACCGGTGTTCGAATACTTTTGGGCCGACTGTACATTGCGAAAATAACGTCGCGGATGGGATTCTTAAAGTTGACTTCGGGGGAAAATAAGCTAAATTATTGCGAATTCTGATACTATTTGGATCTATAAACCAAAAATCGCAAAAAAAAAATTTTTTTGAAAAATCCGACAATAATAGAACTTGAAACAATAGCCATAATGAATGGCCATTGGAAGTTGCGGCGCAATCCTAAATCAACAGATATCAGGCGTTCCATTTCCAATAGGAGTTCCATTTCCTACATCAAGTTGTAACTTGGTAAGGTGCTTTTCGTGAAAATGTGGTGGAACGACAGAAACATCAGTCCCGGTGTCTAGAAGAAACCTTAAGCCCGAATTATTTTCGATGACGAAACGGCGTGCAAAATTCCGTCCGTTGTCGTTCACGACTTCGAGCAACGGCCCTTCTCGTTTCCCTGGTCGTTTTAACGACACGGTGGGTGGCATTTGTTTGCCTTGTTTCCAAATTTGTGGTGGTAAGAACAAATATCCGGAGTAGGGCTTTCATAACGTTTCTTCAGTGGGCTACGACGTGTATTTCGACCACTTGATGTGGAGCGGTTGCGCTGAAAAGGTTCAGCTTGGATGGCTACTAACTGAGCAATCTGTTTGGACAAATCATCAATTTGAGCCTGCAACGCCACAATACCTGGACCATGAGTCTGCACTGCGTGTATTTGGCGCTGGAATGGCCAGCTCGTGAATTTTATCAGTGATTTCAAGAAGATTTTTAAGTGGCTCGCTACTGGCCGCTAAAATGTCTTGCATGTTAGATGGAAGTCTATTCATCCATAATGTTTTAAGAATGTTATCCGTTAGGTTACTAGCGGCTAAGACTTGAAACCACAGGTGAAACGTCTCACTCAACGACTTCATATAACAACCAGTATATTATCTCGTTAATATACTGGTTAATAAAAGTTAATATACTGGTAAAAAAAAGGCCCTTTCCATGACAGCTAACACGCTTGAGATTTAAAAATGTATGAAAGAATTTATTTTTAATCCATTTCAGCAATTGAGTGGACTGGGAAACATTTTCTTAGAGCTCAGGGGAAAAAAAGGCTCTTTCCATGAGAACTAATACGCTTAAGCTTTAAAAATATATGAAAGAATTTATTTTTAATCCATTTCAGCGATTGAGTGGACTGGGAAACATTTTCTTAGAGCTCAGGGGAAAAAAAGGCTCTTTCCATGAGAACTAACACGCTTAAGCTTTAAAAATGTATGAAAGAATTTATTTTTAATCCATTTCAGCGATTGAGTATGCTGGGAAACATTTTCTTAGAGCTCAGGGGAAAAAAGGCTCTTTCCATGACAGCTAACACGCTTGAGGTTTAAAAAATGTATGAAAGAATTTATTTTTAATCCATTTCAGCGATTGAGTCTGCTGGGAAACATTTTCTTAGAGCTCAGGGGAAAAAAAGGCTCTTTCCATGACAGCTAACACGCTTAAGCTTTAAAAATATATGAAAGAATTTATTTTTAATCCATTTCAGCGATTGAGTGGACTGGGAAACATTTTCTTAGAGCTCAGGGGAAAAAAAGGCTCTTTCCATGAGAACTAACACGCTTAAGCTTTAAAAATATAGGAACAAATTTATTTTTAATCCATTTTTAATCCATCAAGTGTGATGAGATGCTAGTATGGATTATTTTTAATCCATACTAGCATCTCATCACACTTGATGACTTAATTGGTGCCCAGAATTTTGACATGTAAACTCCATATTCGTGCAACATTGAAGGTTGCTATTCGTAATAAATACGGGTCACCAGTTATGGCAATACAATTTGAGACAGATCGTTAAATAATTATAACAATTGAATAGAATAAATATTATTTTGATTTTGGTTGCTATGGGTTAACAGACTGGCAGAGTTGAATTATAGTAGACAAGTTGCCACGTATCTATTTATCTATAATGTATATTAAACTTTTAATTGTTTAAAAATTGTACTTTTTAAAAACACTTATATAAATATGTAAAATAAATAACACGTTTTTAACTAATTCTAGACCATTGTATGTTTGATTTTTCCGCCGACACAGATGCATTTCAGAATCCAAGGCTAGTATAGTTAGGTAGTGACTATTCTTAACATATTTTTGAGTATTTTATGGCAGATCCAGCATTTTATTTTTATTTGCATTATTTTCTTATTACGAATATATTCTATACATTATATTACTGAAATTTTTTTCGGGGGGGGGGGCAAAAATGTATTTTGCCCCGGGCGCCAGTTATGCTTGCTACGCCACTGCTCGACCGGTGTCCAGACTAGACCCCTTATACTTTAGTTAAAGTAATGACATTACAGATCTTTTGCTGTTGTGTCTCAGGATGAAAGCATACATATTGCCTTGTATTCCGTGCTAAATACCTTGATTGGAATTATCTCAACACAGTCCATTTTTTTATTATTTTCCCATCATCACATCTATTCAGCCTTACCAAACATACTCATTACATACACCTGTGAAACACTTTTTATTGTAAATGAACATAGCTTCCTCTCATTTTGACAAACTCATGAACCAAGGCTCCTCTAAATGTATAGGAGCCTTATCATGGGCACAATCGTATTTTATTATATTTTCTACTTCTTTTCTTTCTATAAGCCCTTTCTTTTTTCTTTTTTTATCCTCTCTTTTCCTCTATTATTTTTTGGGCCATTTATTTTAAATTTTATTTTGTTCTATTTTTTCTTCGAACTTGCATAAAATATACGAAGTTCCCTTTTACTCTCCTCTGAAATATAAAATTGGCTTCCCCTTTCTATATTACTTTTCCTCGGACCTAAGTTTGATTTTTCGCCCACCCGGGCAGAAAGACTTAGCAGATGCAAAACAAGACATCTATCTACTTTGTGTTTGTGGGTGGTGAATAGGAAATAAAATATTTGCATTTAAAGAGTAATTAAATATAAAATGCACTTCATGTAACATTATTGATTCATTATTGAAATAATATAATTTTTGCGTCTCTAATATTTTTCATTTTACTTTAAGACAGAAGTAGTAAAACATTAAAAGGTATGTTTGTGTGCATACATTTTAGATTAGTATTAAAATGTAATACCAAATAATAACATTGATTTCATCTCAAGGATATTATTTTGTCTAATACTAAATTAAAAAATATTTTAATGTTTCTTTGTAATTTATCATTAGCTGCAAATATAGTCTGAAAGTAGCATTGACTGCAAAATTAGAATTGTAAATAAATGTTGTAATTTAATGCGTTTAAGTATCACATTTATTTTGACTTTAATATCTATATAAACGATTCTGTAGCGTATGAAAGCATTTAGAATAAATAAGTAAATAAAGAAAAATAGATATTAAATTCAGAAAATCAGTAATTTTAATGATTTTTCAGTAAAATTTATTGTAATTCCATTTTGTAAGCATTTTAAATGCTAACTGTGAAAGACGAATTAAGTCATCTGAGCCCTATTAATTACCCCGCATATGTTGCCTCCATTTACATACATTCATAGTAGATGCAAAATTAGAACTCAAATACTTGTATAGTGAAAGAAATAATCAGACACATTTTCTAAGGTTATATATATATCCTATTGTTTCAAAATGCACTTCTAAGTATTTACTAAAAGTATATTGTGTGGCCAATGGAGCTAGCACATATCTTAAACTGGTTATCGGGTAAAGTGCAGAATCGCCCACTTATTTGTTTGACGCTTTTTACAAGAGTAAGAAGAGTTGGATTTTTGTCAGTTTTCTTTGACTTTTTAAGTGCAAATAGGTCATTGTGTACATGAATAAAGTCAAGGGTATGCACAATGCCGTTTTTGTGCAATTTTTAAGTGAAAATAGGTGGATGTGTACATGGATACCGAGTATGTGCAATTCTTAAAAACGTGCCAAGCAGGTGGGAGATTCTGCACTCTCCCCATGTCATCTTATTAGTAGAAGTTGGCTGTTACTGACATAAAAGGATTAAAAAGTGTATATTTTTAAAATGTCATTTGTTTTAAACAATTCAGTGTTGGTTAGATTTAATTAAAATTAAAAAAATATCCAGCCAATAATATATGTAAGGCATATTAGAAATATAAACTCTATTAATAGAAATTTTGATAACTTTTGAAGGTATGCTTGTGATCCAAATGTGCACTGCTAGTTTAGTATGCTAATGGTTAGACAATTTAGATTATATTTTTGAAAACTGTAATCCAGTTAATGTTTATTATGGATTTAATGGGTCTGGTCTTATATTATTAATGAACATATTCTGTTTCAGAAAAATGGCCTCATTATTTGAACAGTATGAACAAGCAGCATCCTTGTCTTCTGGGTATATGACTGGAAAACCAGTCATACCTGAAATGGTAAGTATTTTTACATTCTTTGAAAAATATACTAATATTTCCATGTGTGATGGTATGTATACTCTTTTGAGAATAAAATTTATTTTATTGTCAAAATATTCTTTATTTGGTATCATGTATTCTTTATTTGGTATCATGTTTTAGAAATTATATATTGATTCATTAATGCTATCTAATTCTGAAAGTAAACAAGATTAAATGAAGCAGGATAATGAAAAATGTAAGATTTGAAAATGAAATATCTGTATTATATACCAGCCAATTTTGCTGCATAAAATACATGACCTGTTAAGTTGTTAAAATAGTTGCGAGTTCATCACCACCTTCATATAAACTTAACTCTAACACTCCTCTCACACTAATTCTGATAATTTATAAAAGTAAAATTTCTCTTACCAGCAAATTATACTGCTTAAGGGTAAAGTGCAGAATCACCCACTTCTTTGTTTGGCGCTTCTTACGAGAGTAAGAAGAATTGAATTTTTGTTATTTTTCTTTGACTTTTTAATCGAAAATAATAGGTCGATGTATACATGGATAAAGTCAAGGGAGTGGGCAATGCCATTTTTGTGCAATTCTGGGATATTTTTTTAAAGTGAAAATAGGTTGATGTGTACATGGATACCGAGTATGTGCAATTCTTAAAAACGTGCCAAACAGCGGGTGATTCTGCACTTCCCCCCTGCTTAAAATGCCTGTTAAGTAGTTGAAATAGTTACTCATTCATCATCACCTTCATATAAAATTAACTCTCAAGTTCTCCTCTCATACTAATTCTGCTAATTTATAAAAATGAATTTTTTTTTCCTTATTTGTATGCTTATTAGTCAGTTACACAAATATTAATTGATGGATGACTTCTAAATTCTACTCGTAGGTGATGGGTTCATATAGGACATAATGATATTTATGTATTAGTATTCATGTATTAGTGCTTCTTGCAGTTTGGCAATTTTATATAGAAAATAAAAAGATTAATGATTTGTAATTGCAAAACTTTTTTATTTTTTTTTAATTTTTGTACATGCTATTAAATATACAGTGGCTCAAACAATTGAGAATACACCTTACTTTTACTTGATAAATCTAACTTTCAATATGAATAACACATTACCAAGAACAGCAAACACATTTTTATTTTTACACATAACAAATGGCTTAAGTAAAAATAAAGAACAGTTACCCAAAATATTCTAAAATTAAAAACATTCAGAAGCATTTTAAATAAACATATTCAGATTTTTGCCTCATATAATTAATAATACACAAATAAAATTTTTGTGGTATCTTGCATAAAAAAAAAAGGTGCCAATATTTTGTTGCATGTCGTTTGGTTTTTTTTAATCGCTTCCAAACGTTGTGGTACCAATTCGACCAAGATTTTGCTCGTATCTGAAAATATTTTATTTCTTTCTTATTGCAAATTGTTTTAAATTCTGTGTTTTTGAACTTCTGTTTGGTGTACGGCCCATAGATTTTCTATGACATTAATGACTGGGGAATGAGGTGGTGTGTATAATTGCTGTTTACAATGAAAAAGACACGATATTTTGATGTTATGAGCCTTGTGTTTGGGGTCATTGTCTGCTGGAATATGAAATTTTGGTTAATCTTTAGATTATGGTAACTTGGCGATTTTTTGGCGAAAATTTGGCGACCAACTCTCCTACAGCAACCCTCTATTTTACCCCGCCGCCATTTTGTCTTCACGAAGTAAAGACATGTTTCTTTTCTTTTTATCTACTGAACACTTCTTCCAACAATCTACTAGCCGAATTACACTTATGCTAGAAATGTTATCTAACAAAACTGCTTAATCATGACAAATATTCACTGCAAAATTGGGAAAAAGTACACAATACCATACTCCTTACGCGTTTTTCAAAATAACACATACATATAAACCATGTACACGTTGACTTATTTTTACTTAAAAAAACATCCCAGAATTACACAAAAATGGCACTGTGCACACTCTTCACTATATCCATGTACACTGCTTTTTTTCTCATAAATTAGAAAAATTTCACAAAAATACAGGACAATTTTCTGAATCTTTAAACCCGGTAAAGAGAACATATATGAAATTACCTGATCGCGAAAAAGTATATACCCTTTCCAAATATGAACATTTCCACATATAAAATAAATAAAATATCCAAAAACTTTTACCTCTAAATCATCTGTTATATTATAAACGTCACCAACGAATTCATACCGCAAGCATTACAAATACTTAGTGTCACATATTTAAATTATTTCCATGCATGTTTACTTCAACTAAAACATATACCAAATTCCTACAAACATAAAATTCACAAAATAACTATCATTTAATTAAAATATCACTAAACATGTATACGTCGACTTATTTTTACTTAAAAAAAAATCCCAGAATTGCACAAAAATGGCATTGCGCACACTCTTCACCATATCCATGTACACTGCTTTTTTCTCATAAATTAGAAAATTTCACGAAAATGCATGACAATTTTCTGAATCTTTAAACCCGTTAAAAAGAACATATATGAAATTACCTAATAACGAAAAAGTATATACCTTTTCCAAATATGAACATTTCCACGTATAAAATAAATAAAATATCCGAAAACTTTTACCTCTAAATTATCTATTATATTATAAATGTCACCAACGAATTCATACTGCAAACATTACAAATACTTAGTGTCAAATATTAAAATTATTTCCATGCACGTTTACTTCAACTAAAACGTATACCAAATTCCTACAAACATAAAATTCTCAAAATAACTATCATTTAATTAAAATATAATTAAATTCAAAAAACACTACTTAAAATATAAATAAGCACATACATTAAATTAATAAAAATTAGCTTACCAATCCTAATTACTTTAAACTAAATCATTGCTAATAACAATTTTCCCAATAATACCAAAGTACTTTATTTCCACCTACATTTAGGACCATGCATAAAAATAATATCCTCAAATAATTAAAATACTAACTTACCTAATCTTCTTCAGAATCTGCTTACATGGTGGATACACTTTTATTATGGATTCAATATTTTTTTTTTTTTTTTTTTTTTTTTGTTTTTTTTTTTTTTTTTTTTTTTTTTTTTTTTTTTTTTTTTTTTTTTTTTTCAAATTATTGAACGATTTTTCTGCGAATTTTTCCTCCGCAAATAAAAAGCAAAATTCTTTATCACAATGCCTCGGAATGGCACTTTTTATAGCACTCCACGTGCCAGTAATATCCTTCCTTTCACAATCTCATTTCATTCCCACATTTTGGACATTCATACTTATCCGCAATTAAACCTACACTCATGCACATTCAACCAATTCTTTGAATTATCACACAAACGCATTAAAAATCTAGAATTCACTTTAGACAGCGCCATACAATCCCAAAATTTCAACCCTACTTCACACACACACAATGAGCTTAATACAAAATATATACAGCCACAGATTTTTTCAAATTCCGATTAAAGAACCGTAATTCGTCCATTAATATCTCATGACATATCCCATGATCTCTCGTTTACCTCACACAAAATAATGCGTAATCGGAACGAGTACTGCTCACATTATTACCAAAGTCCCAGGTAGTAACCTTTATCGCCTCCAAAATGTCACCAAACTACCAGTTACCATATTCTAAAGATCAGCCGAAATTTTCATCAAAACCTAACCTTTTAGCACTTTCCTCTAGATCAATGTTAAGTACATCCAAGTAAACCATAGGATTCATAATGCCATCTATAAAACTAAATTTTCTACCTAAGTTTAAGCCATACACCCATAATGGAGCCATTATCATATCTAACTGTAGGATGTAAATTTTTTGTATCCAAAATGATGTTGGATTTTCTGCATACAGTGTGATGGCTGTCACTGCAGTAAAACATTGAATTTACTTTCATCTGTGAGTATAATTTCTTCCAAAAGTTATTCATCTTCAACTGAAGAGCTTCTGCAAACTTCAAACGCTTTTTCTGAGTTTACAAGCTGATGAATGATCTCTTTCTAGGAATTCTACTTGTTTCGAACTAAATCAAACGTGTCTAATTACATTTCACACAGTTTCAACGCTTACACTTCTGCCAATGATTTGAGAAGTTTCCGTAGCAAGTTTGGCTACACTTACTTTAGAATCAATGTTGATATCTTTTGAAATTTTTCTTTTGGTGACATCACTTCGAATACCTTTCCTTCCTCTTCCACTTTTATTTTCAATCAGTCTATCACTTTTAAATTTTCCAATGATTTTCTTGACACACATGTGACTTCTACCAACAGTTTTAGCTATTTCACAATAATATTTTCCTTTTTTTATATAATCTTAGTGCGAATTTTCTTACGCTAATACTGGTTTTTCTTCGAGGATCCATTTTCTACTTTAAAAGTTTATCTTAGAATTCATATGACAAGTTTCATCATAAAAGTGAAAACATTTAAGATAAGATTATGCAACATTAGATCAAAATAGAAGCCATGTAGAAAAAATCCTAGTGGTAGTTAAGCATATTTTTCATTGGTGTATTCTCAGTTTTTGGAGACAAACATCTGCATATGTTTATTTAAATGCTTCTAAAATTTTTCATTTTAGGAATTTTTGTTGGTTGTTCTTTATTTTTACTTAAAATTAATTGAATTATTATGTGTAAAAATAAAAACATATCTCCGCTTCTTGGTAATTCATATTGAAAGTTTATCAAGTAAAAGTAAGGTGCATTTTCAATTATTTGAACCACTGTATTTTAGCTTTAAATTAAGTATTTATCCTGAAAATCAATACTTACTTACTAGGAGTTTTTATTTTATTTTTTTTTTATTTTTATTTTAATTTATTTATTTATTATTTTTTTTTGTGGTTAAAATTTCCTAGCATCATGCTAGATTCAAAGCAGTTGTCCTCTTTAATGAATTTATGACAAATAACTGTATTTCCGCAGAAATTTTACAGCACTTTCTGCCATTGCAAGCAAGTTTCAGAAGTACATATTTTAAAATTGAGTTTAAGACAAAAACTATCGGGATTTATTAATAAAAACCTTATGGGATATGAAATACAACAAAAAAAATGCATATGAATATGATAATGTTGCTTTTAAAAAACTAAAAGAATTGTATGCACATGGCTGCCAAAGTTTCACATATTCTGAAAATTTGGCTATTTTTATTAATGCGGTTGCAATAATACCATAAGTATCTGCATTAAGTTATCTAATACCACAAATTTCAGTTGTGTTCTATGAAGATATCTGGAAAACTGCAATAAATACTGCCATTAACATCCATGAAATTTTAAAATGTCAAGAAATACAACATGTTTTTCACTGATTGCAGAGTAAGGCTGATGAAAAAGCAGCAAAATAAATAGTATTTAACATAATTATCTTTTAAGCTACAAAGTAAAAATATTTGTTTTAAATTATCTATAATTTAGCAGTTACAAAAATGCGTAAGAAATCTGGTAACAGTTAGAAGAAATGCTATTAAACTGAAGACTAATTTTTATGTTTGAATTATCAATGAATGATGGTGAAAAAATTTATAAAGAATCCTAAGTATATTTTGATTTTGTTCATGTTGCATTACCTTTACTGATGTTAATTATTATAATGGTAATGAGATACAGTTTGTTTTTCTTTATCAAATTTTTAGTATTTTAGCAGCATTTTTTTTTTTTTTTTTTTTTTTTTTTTTTTTTTTTTATTTTTCTGTTTTCAATTTTAGTTATCTCCTGATTATAGTACAACATATTGAAATGCCCTTTTTTTTTGCCCTTTTATTATAAATTATTTATTAAAATTTATTATTTGCCCAATGTAATGCCCTTTAACCTTATATTATTTTCTATGTTTCATTTCCTAATCATGACACTTTTGGAAACTGTGATCAAATTTCATAAGATATTAACTTTGTAATAATAATGTTACATAGCTCATATTTTATTATTATTTGAATTAGCTTTATTTTCCCCAGTATTGTCTTTGAGTTAGGAGTGTCTTTATATTTAGGTACATACATATTTTGATATCTCATTTAGGATGAAGAAATACTAACCCTTTAGGCATCTTAATCTCCTGTTCGAGTCTTAGAGAATGTATTCTGAAGCCACATAACAAGTATTTGCTCAGAGCCTGTGAATATTTCTAAATGTGTAATGCAATCAGTATTAACAACACTTAAATGCTTATTTTCATCACAAAATTTCATGACTCAGTGTGATTGTGAGACAAATAGATGCATTTAGTGCATTATTCTAGTTCATAGTATGTTACATTTTGCTTCAGTTTTGAATAACTGCTAGAGGACCAGTTGAAATATTATAAATTTATTGATTAAAATGTTTTGATGTCCAAAAATAAATTAAAAAAAAAAGTAGTTTATTATTTTGTATGTCAATGATATAAATGTTCAATAAAATGATTCTATAAAGTTTTTGCAGTTAAGCATGTAAGCAAGCTGTTCCCGATGTTATCAGCATATTGTGCATTGAAAGTTTAAACTTATTCTCTCCTATATATGATTTATTATAATGAATAAGTTGTCCTCAGAAACAATTAATATCAGATAATTTAGCATTTTGAATTCACACTATTCACTCTGCAAAATTTTTTACTGTATTTTGATTTTAGATGAAATTCAGATTAGTATTACTTCAATAAGTCTTTAATCCGGACTCATCGGGACTTCGGCGATTCTGGATTATCGTTTTTCCAGATTCATAAGAAATGCAGACATTATAAATTAAAAATATAAACCGTAATTTATGAATAAAGAGCAATTATGATCTAAGGGTATCAAAATTTACAAACTAAAGGTTAATATTTATTTATTTACTTTATTAAACATTTTTTCAACATGCGCATGCGTAAAGCATACATTACGCATAGTCCAAATTAGAAATTTCAACCAAAACTATTTGATGTGTATTCGTGATTTTAATGATGAGGAAAATTTGATTTAAATCATATCAAAGACGGAGTACATAGAGATGAAATACTACATTTAGTAAGGAATTATAAGCCAAATAAAATAAAAACATCTGCCCTGAAGATAAGGATAGTGCTGACAGATCCAACTTCCAGTTCACTGCGCGCGTCCCCCCCCCCCCCCGCAGAGCAGCGTGAAGTTAATAAACAGATTTCGGAATGGTTAGAGAAACAAAGGATATGCCTTTATCCACTTTTTGCAGCAATTCCACATTTTGTTTGATGGACATTGAAACATGCTTTCGCTTTGTAGATCCTTTGGCAGCTCCAGAATCGGAAATTCTTTTTGACATAATATAAAGTTCAAGCTTACATTTATACAATTGCTCTAACCGTCTGCAAAAAAATAATAAGCCGAATCCAATAGAAGATTAAGGAAAAACGCAATCTGCAGCATTAACTGAGATAGATAATTAGATAATTTTAGCTTAGCTTATACCATCCGTTATACATTGAACGTGCATGCGTAAACGTATTATGTGCATGCGTAAAGGTATTACACGCATGCATAAATGCATTATGCGTTTACACATGTGCAGAAAGTTTGTAGCTTTGAGGTCCGGATTATAGATCATTCCGGATTATGGACGTCCGGATTAAAGACTTTTGGCTGTATTAGTATTAGAAAATTGTTATTAGAAGAGCAAAATTATTCTGCTTCTTTTTCACATGTTGTGCAATATATAATTTTTTGATTTTATAAGTATAGATTACTTTTTAGTTTAAATTATATATTTTTTTTCTGTAATTTCTAGACCACAGCAGGTATCATAAATTGCAAATTTAGAAGATGATTCGCCAATGTTCAATAAGAAAAGAATTAATTTTAGGTAAAAAAAGAGGGTTTTTTAAAATTAATATTATGATACTTAATATCAATAAATATGTTATTACATTTAAAAAATATTCTGCTCTGATGTGATATATATATGGTTTGTGTTACTTATTATTTATTTTTTTTTATTTGGTGCTGCCATTCCTTTATATTATCTTTGTTACAGGCTTCATATTTTAAATGACCAAGTGAAATTCTTTATGCTAATAAAATAAATAAATGAAATTTGAAATTTAGAAATAGAACACGTCGGGATTATAAGTTTTTTTTTTTTTTTTTTTTTTTTTTTTTGTAAATTCTTGAATGCTGTGATGCAGATGATTTCATTTTGAATCATTCTACCAATAAAAGAATTATCTATGTTTGATTATCTTTTATTGCAATAAATTTCTTGAAAGGTCACAGTTTTTATTTATTTGTTTATTTAGTATTTTTTCATTAAAGAAAAGGCCACCCTGTTCCCCTTCCAATGTTCTCAGCAGAACTTGGTGTCAGTAGTTTAGTTTGACCTTTTTTTCCTGGTGAAAATTGTCTTTATAACTATCATCAAGCTACCACATTTTTCATCTAAATCAGTTTTGCACTTTGAGAAGGAAGAAAGAGATGTTCTTCACAAAAAAAAAGGTTGTTAAAAAAATCCTTCTCATGAAATTAAACTAATTCAAAGCTGAAATAGCTATGGAACCTTTGCTCATGTCAGGTAACAAAAAGTGTCTGAATATAAATTTTGTTGCATCTCATATTCCTTATTTTGCTTTTGTATAAGTTATTTATTTGTGATGTCAGCAGTTAATATTGTAAGGTATTTCCCCTCCTTCTTAGCATGGCTTTGTAGTGTAGTGGTTGGCACGCTGGGCACGTATTCCAGAGATCTGTGTTTCGATTCCCGGCGAAGGCGGTGCTCATTTTTCACTTCTTCCTGTTTTAAAAATAATCTAATGACTCTACAGTGGCACCCGAACTAAAAGGGTGGTGGATGATGATTCTCTACACCACGGGATTTGGTGATTGGGTCCCCTAAAATCCCAGTTGTCCTTTAAAAGGGGGAGTATATAAGTTATTTCTCCTGCCTTCATAGTGTACTGGTCAGTATGCTGAACGTGCATTCCAGAGGTCTGTGGTTCGATTCCTGGTGAAGGCGTTGCTCATTTTTCACTTCTTGTTTCAAAAGTAGCCTAATGAACTCTACAACATCTTTTGAGTTTTGTGAATCAGATGATGTTACTTCAAATGAATCCCAACGTACTGGTTAATCAGAATAATCTCATTAGAGAGATTATGACAGTTACTTGTTATCTAGTCCTAACATTAAACTTGAATGGGTGCTTCAAAATTATGGAAATTATTGAAAGCTTATTCAGAAAAAGAAAAAATGCTGTATTCATCCACAGTGGTTTTTTTAAGGATTATGTCAGTGAAATTGTAATTTTATTTATTTTCTTAAACTTTTTGGGATCATTTCATTTAATCTAGTATTGATCCAAAGATGTCAGGAAAGAAATAAACCAAATGTACCATTATGGTGTTTGGTACCATTTGGGCCCGTAACAGTACCAAATGTATCATTATGATGCCCAAAATGCATGCTTTAGAAAAGTTCCATTTGTCTTTATTTTTAGAAATCCGTGTTTAGGAAACTTGCTTTATACTAAACTTTTCTGCTTTTCTTTCATTGCAGGTTTCCATATAGTTTACTGTACAATATATGCTTTAGATATATGATTCAATCAGAGAAATGAAGAGGAAATTATGAATTTTATGTTTACTTTTCATAATTAGACTAATACTATTTTTTATATTTTTTTACTCAGCTTTTAATATCAGATTTTTGTTAAAACCTACATGAAAGGTAGTTTGATTGAGTTTATTGTTAAATTCTTTGCACTTGATAGTTTCTTTCACATGCAATATAGTTATCTGTATTATGTCTGCAATATATATGTGTTCTCACAGGTATAGTAATGCTATTTTTTCTTTTCAGTCCTAGTGATTATGTAACTCATATGGTAGTCTGCAACAATCAACTTGTCCTGGGAATGCGTAACAAAGTTAGAAGAATGGATTTAATTCATCCAGAAAATTTTGATGGTATGTTTTGATGATTTCATCTTGCATGTGTTATTTCAAATATAAATATGTATGACCTACATGTATTATTTCAAATATAACATAAGTAAAATGAAATATGTATAATAATTTTCTCCTGATGAATGGCATTTCTCTGTATGGACAAAAGAAGTGGAATATGCAAGATTTGACATCAAGAGAAGTGATATAGCTGTTATTTTACAAGAGGAGTGGAAATACTGTTTTAACAGAATGTCTAATTTTTTGTTCCATTTTGTTGCATATATTCTCAAAACTGAAAGTTATGTTCCATGCATCATACCTACATAAAGCATTCAAAATTTCTTTACCTACAAAACAAATGAGATTCCATTGGGAAGTTCATAATAAACTCATCTATGTAACCTATATTTGTTTTCTTAAGAATTTAATTATCTTAAGAACCTTTCTGATAATGATTTCAGTAATTTTGAACACACTTTTAGATATATTGATGACGTTATCGCATTTAACAATAATGATCTTATTCAAAATAGCAACATCTACTCTAACTGTCTAAAACGTAATAACATCAATAAAAATTAATTAGTAATAGACTATCTTGATCTTAGCATACATGATCTTAAAGAAATAAGACTTTTTGATAAAAGAAGAATTTAATTATTCTACAATAAAACTTATAAGTTGGTACTCCAACGTTTCTAGAAAAGTTACAGCAAATACAGTTATAAAATTTTAAAAGAAAATGAAATTTCGATTAACTTTATTAATAGTCTTTTAAAAAAGTCTGGAGTAGTCTACACCCTATAATTTTTTTTTTAAAGTATGAATTTTTCATTTGAAAGCTTAAATAGAGAAGGATAAAAAAGGATGTTTCAAGAAGGTTTCATAGTTTTTATTTTCATGTATTTTCCTCTATTGTTGTATCATTTTCTTGACTTATCTGTTACTAACTTTGGGGCATATTATATTCCAGTTGCTATGATAAGCCCATGACATGAAGACTTTTGACTTTTCTTACATTTGTATCTTTTCTTCGTTTTCGTATTTTCCTCTACACTTTCTTTTTATTTAAAAATGAAAAAAATTTCTTTGAAGCAATAATTCACCTTTTAGGAGATTTGTAACTCACATTTGCCAGTTTGTTTCGACAGTGAATCCAAATTTGCAGCCCTTTATATCTACTTTTGAATCTAATGGTTTTGTTCATTGTTTTGAAATTTGTACTTTGATTACGGTGTTCTTGCTTCATTTCTTACAAATTCTATTTCTACATTTTAATTAATTTTTTCATATTTTATCTTGCATAGTGTAAAAATTGCTTAACTATTTAATTTATTCAAATTTGGAATTTTCTTCAGTTGGCTGTGTTTACTATTTTTCACCAATGGATTACTACTTCGTCCTCTAAGTAAGTTTTTATTCATGTTCTCAGTTTATTTTTTATTAAAATTTTAAATTCAATGAAAAGGTCTAATTTATTCTTTTACTTAATTTGACATTGAATTTACCTTGCGTCAGGGAGGACTTTTGGTTGAACTGTCATTAATTAAAAAAAACATTAGAATAGTTCATCAGCTAATTTTGAATGCAGAAACACAAGGATTTTCAGTGGAAAGGGAAATGTAATTGGGTCTGATGTATCCTCCTCATGGTAATGTTATGTCAGATTTAATTGAGTTCCACCTTTTTCTTTTTTCTCTTTTTTTTTTCTTTTGTTTTGGTATATATTTTCAGGTTTTTATAATTTTTAATTTCTTTAATTCTTATTTTGTGTATTTACAGGATATTTTGGAATTTATTGGTATTGAATTTAAATTTTTGGGGTCTTTGCAGTGGCGGATTAAGGCTAAAGCGGGTCCTAGGCAACATTGTAATTCCGGGCCTATTTTTCTGTCATGACACATACTTTGTGTTTGGTAGTTTGGTTTTAAAGCATATAGTATGTCGTTCTATTTAATTATCAGATTCCAAGGGGGGGAAAGGAAAAAATAATATATGTACAATAATTAAATAAACATAATTTATTAAAACAAACAAATATAAACATAATTTATTAAAACAAACAATAATACTTAAACAAATATACCCAGATTGATTAGTTATATTTCCTCTTTTCTCACTTTTAATTCTGCAAACTCATCAATTAGTTTGTTATAATTAATAGAGTTATTTAATAACTCTTTTTCTATATAAAGTAATGATAAATTATTTAATTTTTGTTGGCCTAATGTGGATCTTAAATTTTTTTTTATTTTTGCCATTACTGAGAATGATCTTTCACCGCTTGCATTGCTTATTGGAAGTGTTAAATAAATTCTCAGAATTATGTTTAAATTAGGGAATATTGCAATAATATTATTTTCCTGAATAAATGACCACACGGATACAGGTGAAATAATATTTTCTTATAAAAGTCTTTAAGTACAATACTTCATTTTTCTGTTCTGCAAGGTTTAAATCTTGTTCATAACATTTTAATTCCTCTATTGAAGAATCACTAACATCACTATCATGAACAACTGTTTTGAATTTATTGTTCATAGTTTTATATCCCTCAGAGCTTTTTTTTAATGTTGCTAATTAAAGAATCGCATACAACAACAACAACAAAGAAAGTATTAACTTTAGAATGTTCTTTGCCACTGAATCTTATTTCATGTTCTTGAATTTGATCATGAAATAGTTTTCATATTTTCTGCCATTTTTTATCATTAGAATATGCAGTATCTTTAACTTTTTCTGCTTCTTTTTCTAAATTGACAAAATCATCTCTAACAGTTTGTATGAAATCTTATCAATGAATTATATATTAAAACTGCTGTATTTAGGGATTCATCTTTTTGTTAAAGAGTCTTATTTGAAGCATCAATTCTTTCTAAAATCTTTTCCCCATATAGTAAGTAACAGTACATACACAAATGTATCAAGTTCTTTTATGTAAATCGGCAGCTTCGGACCTTGTTAATTATTTTTCATCTTTGTTTGAGGAAAAATGATGTAAACAATGTTTAATTTCTTCAGAATTTTCCTTTAAGGAATTCACAGCATTGAAACGAGCAAACCACCTAGTGTCACAAATAGGTTTAATACTCAAGTGTTTGCTCTTACAAAATTTTTGTAATGCATTCCACCTATGTGTAGAACTTGAAAAAAAAATGTACAGTTCTTGAATGATATTGAAAAAAAGTGGTCATTTCCATGCAACTTTCAGCAGCAGAATTTCCAATTAAATTTAATGAATGATTTGCGCATGGTATAAAATGGCCAGAAAAAATATGTTGTTTTATTCTGGATTGGAGTCCATTATATTTATTTACTTGACATATTAAATGCATTATCATAACTCTGTCCCCGAAAGTTAGTGATGTCTGAATCTATATTATTTAAAAATTCTAAAATAATTTTTTTTAAGTTTTCACCAGTATAAGAAAATATAGGTAGAAATCCCCAAAATCTTTCTTCTATACCACTTGGAAGATCATAGCGAATAATGATGGTCAGCTGATCTACGTAGCTGATCTGGTAGCTATATCAGGTGTTGAATCAATAATTAGAGAGTAAAATTTGGCTTCCTTTATTTCAGTCACTATTGTGAGTTGTAAATCTTTCGATATAATAAAAATAAATTCATCACATATTGTAGACGATAAACAGTTTATAGTACCGGTGCCACAGTTGCCATATTTTTTCATGTGTTCCCACAAAAATGGATCAAACTCGGATAAATATTCCAAAGTACCCATATAATACCATTTTCACTAAAAAACACTTCATTTTTACCAAGAAATGCTAGTATGAAGAAATAAATTTTATTGTCGCTATTACACATTTTTTTTTTTTTTTTTTTTTTTTTTTTTTTTTTTGAAAATTTTAATTCCTTGTGCACCACATAGTATTACACAAGGCTTACAGAGGCTAGTAAAAAAAAAAAACAAACAAATACATCAACACAGCACAAAATAAAATAAACTTACAAATTCACAGATGATACGTAAGAGATAAATTTACAGAAGAAAGAGAAAGCCATTTTATGTTGACAAATACATGAAGAGGGGGAGGAAATGTAATATTCACAGAGTTTAACCTAGAAATGAGTTCCTTTCGTCCTTCCTTGAGCTTTGAACAATAGAACAACAAATGTTCAACATTTTGCACTCCCCCGAAACTGCATGAACACAAGTCTGTACTAGATAATCTAAATCTCTTCAGATATGAATTGAATTTAACCATGTCCAGTTAGAAATTGAGTAACTTCAAAATTGCAGAAAAAGTGTTTATTATTCAGTCTGTGAGGAATGGAAGGAAAATATAGTTTAGTCAAAGAGGCAGTAGTAGAATTTCTGTATAGTTCATTCCACTAGAGTATCGTATCATCCGTACTTTTGTTCTTGTAAAATGACTTGGGAAGTATCATTGGAGTAATTACTTGAAGATGTGTAGCTGGTTTTGCCAACCAATCAGCCCTTTCATTTCCTAGATTGCCAGTGTGGCCACGTACGTGAGAAAAGATAACATCAACACCTTTATTATTAAGGTCCTTAAGAAGAGCATGGGAAATGACAATTAATTTATTATATGAGAAATATTCCTAAACGAATATAAGGATGAAAGAGAATCAGTGCGAATAAGAAATTTAGCACTTAGCGAACAGTTGTTATATATCCATTTAATTGACTCATTAATGCACAGTAATTCGGTTTGGAAAACACTGCATTCATTGGGAATTCTAAAGAGTTTGTATTCCAGTTCAGAACCATGATGGAAAACGACATAAGCTGATCCAACTCGATTATTAATTTTACTGCCATCTGTATAACACACAACAGGGAAATTATCATCAACAGAATTGTCATAAATGGTAGTTTGAATTGGCAAACGATTGGCAGGATGAGGAAGATCTTCAAACAACACCTTGGTATCGAACATAAATTTGCTGATGGTATCCTTAAACTTTTTGTCATTCAAAACATGAAGGTCAATCGGAGGAAATCCTGAAATTGTGAAACAGGCTTCATAGC